TGGGGGGGGGGGTGGGGGAGGGGAGATGGATTTAAAGTCGAAATAACACTAGATAGAGAAAGTATTTCTTGGTCATTGAGGCTTCTACAATGATCACAGATGGAATGAATCAGACTCTTTCGGTTTAAATTTTTTGTCATGTACATTTTAACTTTTTATCTTGAACACTCTGTTGTCAAGACGATGGAACTACTGCTGCCATCCAATTTTTCTTCATCCTGATCAATTGGGATGCTAACGAAATGGATCTGGCTTGTGAAGTATCTACTGTGTGGATTCTAGGGGATTTCAAACTTACATTCATGAAGGTCAGTTTAATGGCCTCCAGACATCCAAGAAAAATAGGTCAATCGAAACGCATGCAAAGACGGCAAAAGGACAAATTAAAATCAATACTTAAGATAATATTTCTCCCGAAACTAATGCAACTGTAACAGCTAAAGCTTCACATCTTTATATCAAACTCACCTTTTAGGTGGGGGGGGGGGGATTTAATTCTGATTATTTGTAAAGTTATGAATTTTGTCGAAGCTATGAACACAATAGATTTAGTTTTGGCACATATTGTGGTAAAGGTGAGTGAATAAACTTGCCCTAATGAGCCTGGAAAGTGAAAATTTAAGTAAGTCTTCAAGGAGTGATATTTTGAAAAACTTGGTGGCTGTGAAGCAGCAGTTTTGGTGAGATTGATACAAACGCATGGGCAAAGTTTTTTCCAATTCTTCATTGGGTGAATAGCTTAGATGCCTGTACCTCACGGTGTTAAGAGACTTCTCTGCAGTTTAAGGTAAGTTCTATGCAAAATAAGTCATTCATAGTAACTCGGAATAGTGACCATCTATACCCTTTTAGTAAGCTGCGATTTCAATTGATGTAAAGTATTCGTTAAAATACTTAAAATGTAAAATTCCCGCGGAGATAGATAAAATTTATAAAAAAAATTGGGGTGTGTGTTGGGGGGGGGGGGGGGGTGGGTAAATTATCTCCTCTAGAACTTCTGAAACAAGCCTTCTCCTCGTTTAGGATTTTTTAAGGACTTAACAAAAACACTTGCCAATTTATTTTCGTAACAATCAATCAAATATTATTATCTCAAGTGAAACACTGAACTTCAAGAATTTGAGGAATATGTCAGCAAAAAACCATAATGAAATTCTAAATTGTGCAAATACAAGAGCAGTACATTTCCACTTTGCTTGTTCTAACTGATGCAGTTTAATTTGTTCAAACACGTGAACCACGTGTTGCCGTGTTTATATGGACGTTAACCCAGTCCCAACAACAAGGGTCATTCAAAGAAGGGTTAAAGAAATTAATGAAAAATAGGAGAAGGGTCGGTTTGAATGAGATTAATCACGATGCGGTCAACTGTATCAGGACTAATCATCTCCGCTCGTGGTCTTCCGGTCAATGAGCCTATGACAACAGGAGCGGAGATTCAAATCTTTGTCGTGCAAGATGGAACCGCGACGTTCGTTGCATCAGACTGCTCATTTCTATCAACTACTCTTCCACCCCCCCCTCCCCCCTTTCTCCAACCAACTCATATCTGATCCAATTTGCATTTAACTTTTCATACAAATAATGACGATTTCTCAACTATTGTGCTCTATTGGCTATTTGAAGTGAGGAAGAATAGATTGGAACCTGTTGGAGTGATGGACATCACGACGTCACAACATGAATAGTCCCCCCCCCTTTCTGAAAATCTGAACTGAAAGTTGGGTACTCTGACTCCAATATCTGCTCATTTATTACCCTCTCCCCGCAATCTCCCCCTCTATCCGTCTTTCCCCATCAGACTCGTCTGTTATGTCACATAGACTTGCAAAAGTTGTTCTTTGTTGGTGGTTGTGATAGCCTTCGAATGAATGTTGACATGTCAAGGAAATATCTCAATAATTGTGTCCAGAAGACTTCAAGTTAGGATTAAAATTGTGATGGGTAAGTGACGTAAACGTGGGACACTTCTGTGTGGCGTTTGGTCACTTTACCTTACTATCAACCACAAACTATGCCTGCCTGTTTCATGTAAAATCCTTCATCTACGATAAATAAAATAATCGAAATTGTATGTTATTGATTCCCCTGTACAAAATAAACGTTTGAATAAAACTAAATCACTATAGAAATCGCATTTATTTCTTCTCTTCCAAGTCCAGTGTGGGCAAAAGAAATTTCGAAGCAAGGACTAATGCTAGGTACATACAGTCGGCTTACTAGTTAAAGAAAAAAAACTATATATTTATACCTTATTAAATAAGAGGATGATGTATTTAATTTTGAACTTGACTCCCAGTTGGCTATAAAAATAACGAAGTAACTGATTTGGAAGATAGGGAACAAAGAGATATTTAATCAAATATGATGCCACTTAACAGCTGTTTCAACCTTTTATTCAAAAACCATGAAAACTATTACGCAATTAAACAGTTGAGAGTGTTATAAACTATTCTCTTGTCAAAATAAAGCGTATAAAACAAAAAAATAATGAAATAAATGGTAGATAGACACTCACAGACTGCTCGTGAAGATGCGGAGGTGGAAAAGAGGCTTCCACAATGTGCATAGTAGCTGGGTCAATCCAACGTGTGTCACCATTCGCGTATGCATACATTTGAAAAGTGAGCGCTTAGCTGCTTTTGCGCACGAATATCTGATAGGCAATGAAGTATCACCTGACCAATCAGCGAATGCCTACGAATGCGCCCAACGGGGGTGTGTTTGGACAAATCACAACCCTCCGAAAATTACCTTAGGGCACGGCATTGCATTGCATTAATTCGATATCGGTGTTCGGAAGTTGAAACTTCTTATGCACTTTCTAATCGACGTAGATTTGAATAATAGGCGAAATATAATAATAATTTTTTTAATTAAATGAAAAATAAGCTTGGCTATTGAAGAAATAATCATTCTAGACTCAATAAACTTTTAAGGTAGAGGGGAAAGATGCTTTCCTCGAAAATAAATAATTAATTAATTTGACACGGATAATTTACTTTAATAAAGGTGTATTCAAAAATTTAGCCCTCTTAGCTTCATTCACAGCCGAAACAACGACTGTCTTTACTCGACTCACACATTCTAGCACTCTAACTGCTAACGCCATTGACCTTCACACGTCTTACGATGACTTTAATGAAATCCTGGGCAGAATTATGGAGTCCTGGATCCAGACAAATGTGAATCATTCAGCCAATGATATACCAAACAATGCTATTGTTTATAAACCCCCAAATGTAGTTCTTTTGATCTCTGCATTAGCAGACTTACACACCGAAGTTTCCTTCAACGACTTGAAAAAGATTTATTTATTTATATCAGATGGTAGGTATTTTGATAGTTATCATAAGCCCTTTAGTTGACTTCAGGGTTCACAGAGAAGAAGGAACATCAAAGTGAAAAAAGTCGAGGGGGGGGAGAGGGGGGG